TTATCACCCACTTATTCTTAAATATTCTTCTGATTTGGGTTGATAGTTCTCCATATGCTTTACTTTTTCTCTTATTTTCATAACTTTTTTCTTTTTCTCTGCACACTTGAAGAACTCAAGTTTTCTCTTGATGTTACTTTGAGTTCTCCACAAAGTAAATTTCTTAACAATAATGATTTTAATTCTGCGATTGCATTTTGTTCCTTACATTTTATTCTATAAGTTCAATCTTACAGCAAAATTTAAAGACGTTTGCCATAAATTCTCATATATGTATATATATATATATATATAAATTCTCATATATGTATATATATATATATATATACCCCTTAGATTCTCCATTAATATTGTCCTAATCTTGCTTTTTCATATATCCATCCTGCTCCCTATCCATCCATTAATATATCATATATTTGATACATTTAAAAGTAAATTGCAGACATTAGTACACTTCCCCCTAATTATTTTAGCATACACATTATTAACTAGAATTGAATACTTGTTTAAAAATTTTTATGTAAAATCTACCTGCAATAAAATAGACAAATGGTAAGTATACATTTGGGCTGAGTTTTGACAAATGCATATACCTGTGTAACTCAACCACTAAAGATAAAAATCATCATTACCTTGCAGAGTTCTCTCTTGCTTATTACAGTCAATCCCTTCCGCCACCACCACCGCCCCCCTACTGGGACAAGTACTATTCTGATATTTTCCACCATAGATTAGTTTTACCTCTTCTAGAATGTCATATACATGGAATCACACAGTACACGCTGTTTTTTTTGTAAGACTCCTTTCACTTGGCATGTTTTTGTTTATGAGATTTATCCATGTTGTTTTGTATATCAGTACTTCATCCCTTTTTATTTCTGAGTAGTATGACAGTATATGGATATACCACAGTTTTTTAAACTTTTAATTCTGTTGATGGACCTGGGGTGTTTCATTTGAGTTTATAATGAATAAAGGAGCTATGAATTCTCTTGTACAAGTCTTTTTGTGAACATATTTTCATTTCGATTTGGTAAATACTTAGGAGTGGAAGTGCTTGGTCAGTTACCATTTTTAATTTCTTTATAGTCCTTTCTTAGCTCACTTGGACCCATTTTCATCTAAATTTATTGGTGTTGTACCCTACCTTGCCATTTTTCACCTCACTTGCTTTCTCTTGACCTGAAGTTGTTTGCTTCATTGAGTCTATGTGTTTTTGCAACATATTAAAATTGCCAAACAGTTTCTAAATACTTTTTTTTCTGCTTCCTAAGGTAAATTATTTCTAGAAAGTATACTGTGTATTTCAGATTTTAGGTTAATATATTCATTCCTTTGGTGATATTCTGCATGGATCCTTCATTTCTTTTTTCTTTGTACTTATGCTTCAACAAGGAGAGATCAATGCTGATCACATGTTTGTTAACTAGGTAGGTGAATTGCCTTGATTCTACTCACTATCTTGCACAATGGATTAAAGCTAATAGCAGGTGAATGGGCATTACTTCCAGTACAATTCTCAATTTCTAAAAGATATTCAGAAATATGCTAGATGACAGTAGAGATTGCTTTTATGCCTATGGTTTATTGTCTGATCCTCCGAGCTGATGTAGCACTTGGAAAATCCATAGCATTTGCTGCAACTATGGAACTTTCTCTCCCTCCCACATTTACTGCTTTGTTTGAGGTGCCATACACTTCAGGTCTCTATGGAACTGCCACCAATTTCCCTTAAATTTCCTGCCTCGATGGTTTCTATTGATTGTGATCTGGTGGAAGTATAATGTTTGGGGGAGAGGGGGAATGAATAAATTCTCTGGTCAGCACAAAAAAGTAGAAACCTCTGGAATGAGAGATGACTGCCTAGAGTTTCATTTAACATATAACTGTTGGCCCAGCAGAAGGGAAGTCCAGTAATAGAAACATGTCTTGTTATTTTTTTCAGGTAGACAGAGTTCTCCTTATTCATGAAGCAGTTCAGAATCAGAGCAAACATTGTTTTTTGCAGTCCAGTCTATCCTCTTTAAAGATAATGAGAATAATTTTAGAATTCCAAAATGTTTTGATTGATCAAACTTGGTTTTTAGTGTTGTTGTGAGCTTCCTTATTTTTCTGGCTTATTGAGAAGTTGGAAAATATTGCATTGAAAGTTGCTAGCATAATTTCATTTTAAGAGTGAGTTCCTGAGGGGTGCCTGGGTGGCTCAATCGTTAAGCGTCTGCCTTCGGCTCAGGTCATGATCCCAGGGTCCTGGGATCGAGCCCCGCATTGGACTCCCTGCTCCGCGGGAAGCCTGCTTCTCCCTCTCCACTCCCCCTGCTTGTGTTCCCTCTCTCGCTGCATCTCTCTCTCTGTCAAATAAATAAATAATATCTTTTAAAAACAGAGTGAGTTCCTGATAATAAATATCATGAATATCATGTACTAAACTTGAAATATAATAATAATAATAATAATGATAATAACAACAACAACAATAATAATAATAGCAAACACACTGTACTTTCTATGCACCAGACACAACTGGATGCATTATTTATGTGTAATCTATTCCTAGCATGTGAGATCTTTGGGACAGGAATCAGGGGCTGACTTGATAGCTCTGGCACCGGTACAGTGCCTAACAAATGGTCAGTACTCTGTACGATGACATGTCGTGTTGGGAACTGAGCTAGATATTTAGCTGAGAGATAATTTCAAACAGAATAAACAAAATTGTTTCCTCTCCATTTCTGTCCCTGTGTCTCTGTCTATATTTCCAACTCTTCATCTCTTTCTCCCTCTCTTATTTAGTTTAGGGGTTATAATGGGAAATTAATGCAATTTTAAAATGATTTTTAAACAAAGATGTATAAAAACAATTCTTTTCTTAAAGGTGGTTTAAAAGAACTTGTCATCTTAGAAAGATGACAAGAGGCATCTGCTTCTTCACTCAGCAAGCTCCCTTGGTCCTGGAGGACCTGCGTGAGAAGCTTCAGGGCCCATACTCATGGCCCTTGAGGTGCTCTCACGTAGATATGTAAACAAATAAATCATTTCACAATATACTCAGGGCCAGAAGGATGATATGAATAAAACACTAAAGGAAGAGATTAGAAAAACTTTCCAGAGTTGCAAATGGCATGAGGTAAAATGTAGAGATACTTAGCCATCCTTTTTTTTTTTTTGGATCAAATAATACAATGTTTATTTACATAAATCATAAATTTTGGCTTTTCATAAAGCTGAAAGACTCACATTTTTGTTAGATACTTTTCTTTTTTTTATTATGTTATGTTAATCACCATTCATTACATCATTAGTTTTTGATGTAGTGTTCCATGATTCATTGTTTGTGTATAACACCCAGTGCTCCATGCAGAACGTGCCCTCTTTAATACCCATCACCGGGCTAACCCATCCTCCCACCCCCCTCCGCTCTAGATCCTTCAGTTTGTTAGCCATCTTAAAGATGAAGAACTATTTGAATCCCAGAAAGGTTAGTAACTTCTTCAGCTAACTTTTGATGAGTGGTCAAACTGGAATTACTTCCCACTGATGGAGTCTGGATTAGTCTAGACCAGTGCCTTTTCCACATTTTCATGTTGCGTCCACCTGATGGCTCTCTTCCTGAATCCTGGAGAGAAAACCTCTAGAGGCTGGCTTCCAGCTCCTTTTGCCTGACCTGGAACGAAGCCTACCACATGTCCCTCTCAGGGCTTGCGATGGCTGAATGGCCAGGACAGTTCTCACTGAGATCCTTCCAAAAGGGATTGCCTCAGAGACTGTCCTGGACAGGAGCTCAAGAAATCCCTCAAAGCCAGCTTGGACCATGGTCATGAGCTTTCATTCTTTCAGGTCTCTTGTTTGGCGTGCTGTGTACCTCCATGGCTGTGGCTGCATCCCTCATGGGGGGCGTCGTGCAGGTAATGAAAGAGAAAAAAGACACCTTTGATTTCAGGGCAGCTCTTTACCCACTTTCTTTGCTAATGCTTTGCCTGTTCCTCCAAGCACCATATGCTGAGACTCCCTGATACCGGGTCTGAGTTAAACATACATGTAAAGTTTCAACTGAAATTACTTTCAGAAGGAGAAACTATTAAAAACCAGTAATGGAAGTCAGTGACATGGGACACTGTAATTAAATTAGAAGCCCTTTTAAAATCCAGATCTGAGAATATATGATCCTGAAATAAAAGTAGAAGTGATTATTACAAGAGCAAAAAAAATTAGAACAATTGCTATTAATGGAAGACTTACTATGTTCCAGGTACCATCCCAGATGTATTACTTCATTTAATCACTTCTTCCAGGTTATTATGATTCATGGACTAACTTTACAGATGAAGAAACTAAGAAGTAGAGAGGCGAAGGGATTGTCCCAGAGTCACAGAGTTAAGGAGTGAGGGAGCCCACCTCTACCTGCCTCCCATCTGTCCAACTCCCATTTCCAGAAAAGGACAATGCTAGAAGGAGCTAGGATAATCTGTTTCAGCATCTTCATTTTGGAGATGATTATAGAAAAGAGTGAACATATCCTGCTCAGGTTCACACAGCCGATCAATGGCTGAGTTTACGTCCCTTGTCTCCTGAGCCACCTCTCTTCCCTCCGCAAATCGCCCACCTCTCAAAACAACAGCAGAGAAGCCCATCTTCACATTCTGCTTCGGCCCTCTCCATCCCACTTGTATTCAACATCCTTTATATTATCTCGGCATGGCATAGTTTTTCTAATAAACATTTATTAGTATAACACTGTAGACTAACTAACTGGAATTAAAATTAAAACTTAAGAAAAAGAAACAAGGATAATAGTAGATAACATTTGGGGGGTACTTATTATGTGCTCCTGAATGCTTAGTCACTATTCTGGGCTTTCTCAGATCCCACATTGAACAATCACAAGAAAACCCAGGAAGCGGGCATTGTGATCCCTACTTGATATATGAGAAAGCTAAGGCACAGCAAGGCAACCCCCCCACACATATGTTCTTAGCCATCACCCCCTGCTTACAGGAGCGACTTATGTGAGATTTGCCCACTGAGGAAAAAGCTGTTGGATGGGCTTTCCGCCTTCCTCCAGTTGAACCTGCTTATGAGCAATAACAAAAAGAAAGATAAAAATTAAAATTAGTTTAGTCGTGTAAATTACAGAAATATATATTTTCAAAAGTCAGAAACTGTTGGATTTTTTTTTCTTTCTATCATGTGAAGACCATTTTTTTTCCAGAAGCATATTGGCTGATGACTTTATAAGAGATTGTTAATGTTTTTTCCTACACTGGGGGACATGATGCCTTACCTAAACGTATTGATTCTCCCATATAATAACTAGTAAATTAGCTTCCAAATTCAGCAACCACGGCAACTATGAATTCATGCTATCAATCAACAGAGGAAATGTCAAGAATATTAAATTATTGACCTTGAGGAAGAGTATTGACTTTAATCTTATCTGCCTCCTTCTTGTCAAAGATCCATCTGTGGCATTGACTTCAAAAAAAGTTAACCTGGAAGAACAAACATAACAATGCATTGCAGCTCATCCTTCTAGAGAAAAATAATTACGTTACAGATGGAGGGCACTTGACGGCCTCTTGGTCTTATCTATTTTTCATAAAGAAGGCTCTCTGAAATAGAATGTATCTGCATTAATAACAGAAGGTTCACCAAATCATAGTAATGACAGGCAGGGCCAAAGTTAGAATCCAAATATCCCGACTATTAGTGATGGAATCTTTCAAGAACTTTTTTTTCCCTTAAACAATAGGAGGAGGCCATTAGGAGGGTTTGTGTTCTTGACTTTTTTTTTTTTTCTGCAGACTTCCTTTAGGAGAGAAAATGTGGGTTTTACAGCCAAACAAACCTAGATTACATCTCCTAAATCTTACCTTTCCCATTTTCTAAATGGAATTATACCTTTAATATGTTTTCCGTCAGTGCAGTTTTCTCACCTATAAAATTCAGTTAGTGATACCTACTAACAGGGTAATTGTGAGGCTGAATGAAGTCATTTATCTTGAGTGCCTGGTAGTTCATCTTACTATCTGGCACATTGGTGGTGCCTGACAAACATAAGGCATATAGAGGATCTTTAGAGCATCCTATTCTCAGTTGTTGATCTAAGAGTCCTACAGTTGCATTGATAGAACAAGATAGGGACTGCACTGCAGGATAGCTAGGTGTGTGTGTGTGTGTGTGTGTGTGTGTGTGTGTGTGCATGCGCACGCGCACACGCACATGCATGGCACTTGCACACACTTGCATGTATATCAGTGCATGTGTATGTCCAAGACTCTTGGAAGGCCATAGAAAAGGCTACAGGTCAATAGAAAATTAATTTAATGAAAACTCCTTACCAATTCAGTGGGCTCAGTAACAGAGGCTAAGAGATATAGAAATGCTTTGTCAAACTCCCTCAATTTTCAAAGAGAGTAGAGCTGTAAAAATGAGAGATGAGATACGGAGTGTCCAGTGGCCTCCCTGTCATGTCCTAACTTAATGCTTCAACATCCTTGAGGTGTTCTGGGTGAGATGGCGGGAGTGGAGTAATCTATTATTATCAAAATGATAGAATTGTTCAAACTAAGTTAGAATAGGTGATCAGTCATGTAAGATATGAAACATTAGTCACAGATATATTTATTTGGTACATTATAAAAAGAAAGGGTTTTTTTTGACAAGATAGAAAATGTAAGCAAATCAATGAGTTCCACCTTAAGGGAAAACTACTTCTACCAAATCCAAATTACCTGTGTGTGTGTATATACATGCACACACACAAAAATACACAAACGTATGTTGGTATGTATTTTTATTATTTTACATAGTGCTTATCTCCCCAGAAGGGAAAAATGGCTTCCAGAAAGCACATGATTAGTGAGTGCCACCATCAGGATTAGGACTAAATTTTTTTTTCTTTAAGTTTTTTATTGTTATGTTAATCACCATACATTACATCATTAGTTTGTGATGTAGTGTTCCATGATTCATTGTTTGTGCACAACACCCAGTGCTCCACGCAGAACGTGCCCTCTTTAATACCCATCACCAGGCTAACCCATCCCCCCACCCCCTCCCCTCTAGAACCCTCAGTTTGTTTTTCAGAGTCCACCATCTCTCATGGTCCGTCTCCCCCTCCGATTCCCCCCCTTCATTCTTCCCCTCCTGCTATCTTCTTCTTCTTCTTCTTTTAACATATATTGCATTATTTGTTTCAGAGGTACAGATCTGTGATTCAACAGTCTTGCACAATTCACAGCACTCACCATAGCACATACCCTCCCCAATGTCTATCACCCAGCCTCCTCCCACCCCTGACCCCTCCAGCAACCCTCAGTTTGTTTCCTGAGATTAAGAATTCCTCATATCAGTGAGGTCATATGATACATGTCTTTCTCTGATTGACTTATTTCATTTAGCATAACACCCTCCAGTTCCATCCACGTCGTTGCAAATGGCAAGATCTCATTCCTTTTGATGGCTGCATAATATTCCATTGTGTATATATACCACATCTTCTTTATCCATTCATCTGTCAATGGACATCTTGGCTCTTTCCACAGTTTGGCTATTGTGGACATTGCTGCTAAATTTTATCCCGAGTTTAAGAAAGAGTGATCCCAGGTGACCATGAATTCAGGCGAGTGGGCACATTGATCTGATCTGTCTTGTTCCACAGGCTGCTCTCAGCATCCATGGCATGTGCGGGGGACCAATGCTGGGCTTGTTCTCTCTGGGAATCTTGTTCCCTTTTGTGAACTGGAAGGTAAGGATCCTGCATGTCTCTCCAAGATTCCCAGCTAAAACTGAAGCCCAGCTTGTTGCGATGAGCACTGGATGAATCACTAAATTCTACCCCTGAGACCAATAAACTACTATGTGTTAACTAACTTGAATTTAAATTAAAAAATAAGTAAAATAAAAGCTCCTGGATCTACCTTTCCAATTGTTTGAAAAATAAAAATAAAAATAAAAATAAAAATAAAAATAAAAATAAAAATAAAATAAATAAAACTGAAGCCGAACCATTTTCTCTCTCTTCCCACTTCTTGGAAAGGCCATTTCTCTGTACCAGGAAAAAAAAATGGTGGCTATTTTCCATAGTAGAACTAAACTAAACTCCTATCTCTGACTTCAGTGAAGCCTTCTTAGAGACAGGAAACAAGGAAAGTAAGAGATGAACACGAAGTACAGATGTCATGGCATCAAAGTTGACTCTTTAGGGTTTAAATTATCCTCCCTGAATTCAGGGCCCACAAAATGAAATTTAAAATATATACTGAATTCAGGAAAAATTTAGGTTAAAAACATTTTGAAAACTTAAAAAACTATGTGAATTTCATTTTTTCCATATTTCACCTAAGATTATCACAAATTTAATTAACTTAATTAACTAATTTAAGAAAGGGAAAGTAAACAATCCTGGTATATTCTGATCTCACAAGCTAATGGTATATCTTTAAGTAAATGTTGGTTGGATGACTTTATAATAAATATAAATCAAAATGAACATTTATTTGGAAAAATAATAACTTTAAAATAGCTTAAAACTCATAATTTTCTCAATCTAGCAAAATTGTCATTTTTTTTTTTTTACTTATTGCTGTCCATACATTTCCATGCATATATTTTTAGAAAGTCTTTAGACTACAAAAAAAAAAAAAGAAAGAAAGAAAGTCTTCAGGCTACAAAAAACCTGACTGCATATTGTTTAAATACTGTAGGGTGCTCAATGAAGCCTGAGTCACATGATCTATCTAATTAGGTCTCTGCAGCTATCTGACCCTTACTGACCTCTATTCTAGATAAATCTTTCAGAGCTAGGTAAAGAGCATGGATAGGTAGGGAGCATTTGGTAATTTGTAGTGCTTCTCTTACAGTCTTATTTGTTTTAATTAACTTTTCTGATACTGAGGTTGACAAGGATAACTATGTTTTGGGGAGATGATATGAGGGAAGGCAATATCCTGGCCATGAAAAAACTAATAATGAGCTACATAATATATAACATCTTTGTCCTTCTACACATTAACTTATTATCTATGTTAATGAATTGTGGTCCTTCTATTTAGTTCAGAAAACCACCTTGTTCCAGGTAAAGGAAAGTAAACATTACAAATTTGGGTTACCTCCCCCCTTGTCATTGTCCATGGCTGATACTACTAATCAGTCATGGTTCTCTTTCCACAGAACGTGGATAAAAACTCAGAATCCTCAGGGTGGTTTTCTAGGCAGCTACTATAAATCACTGAGGGTTGAACCTCCTGCTGAAATCCATTCACCCTTTACTGGTAGGCCAGGGGACAGCAAACTACACTCCTCAAGCCAAATCTAGCCAGCATCCAGTTTTTGGTATAGCATACAAGCTTAAAATGGTTTTGACATTTTTAAATGGTTGGAAAAAATTAAAAGAAGACAGTATTTCATGACCCACAAATATATGAAATTCACATTTCAGTGCCCATAAATAGTTTTACTGGTCATAATTATTCTCCTTTGTTTATATATTGTGTATGGCCGTTTTTGTGTGATAGGGCAGAACTAAGTAGTTGTGACAGACATTGGATGGCCCATGAAGCCTAAACTATTTCCTAGCTGGCTGTTTGTAATAGGAGTTTGCGGACCCCTGGTCTAGACCAAGGCACAAGTATTTGAATCATATACATTGCTTTAGTTTCCCCAAACAATAATGAACAAAACATTCCAGTCTTCTTATCAGAAAGTATTTTCCTGGATAAATAAACTAACAAGTTATTTTCTCTCACAGAGAAGGCTCAGCTGTCCAGCAGAGGCTGGGAGCATCCAGATTTATTTTCCAGTTCTGGTCACTGCCAGACTGCTCTATCTCCTATGCAGGAGAAATGACTCAATTACTCATTGACTTTTCACTGTTTATCAAGGAATATAATCCTTAAATGACAAGACTAGTAAATATGCTTGCTAGTATTTAGACTCAAACAAAAAGCTCCAAGCTTGTGAGCCAGGATCTCTGCCAGAATCACTTAGGAAGAGATATGGGAGACAGCTAATCGCTGTCAATGAAAAATGACCACTTTGTCTCCAGTTTCTGACGTTTTCCTGTCAAGCTTCTGAAACTCTTCTACTGGGAACCGAGGTCTCAACAGGTGTTTTTCTCTTCAGTTTTTTTTTTTAAATTCTTTTTTTTTTAAAGATTTTATTTATTTATTTGAGAGCGAGAATGAGAGAGAGAGAGAGAGAGAGCTTGAGACGGGGGAGGGTCAGAGGGAGAAGCAGACTCCCTGCTGAGCAGGGAGCCCGATGCGGGACTCGATCGCGGGACTCGATCCCGGGACTCCAGGATCATGACCTGAGCCGAAGGCAGTCGCTTAACCAACTGAGCCACCCAGGCGCCCGTTTCCCTTCAGTTTTGAGATATAATTGGCATATGACACTGTATAAGTTTAAGAAGTTCAAAATAATGAATTGACTTATATATAGTGAAATAATTACCACATTAAATTTACCATAATATCATACAAATAAAAAAAGAAAATTTTTTTTCCTTGTGATGAGAACTTTTAGTATGTACTCTCTTAACTTTAGTGTATGTCATACAGTAGTGTTAACTACAGTCATCCTGTTGTACATCTCTGAACAGATTAAATGGTAAGAAGAAGCTAAAAGGAGGGGAAAAAATTCCTGCTCGAAATCTAAAAATAGTGACCATTATGACATTCTCCAATGTTTTCATTGAAGGAACAAGTGACTCCTAAATAAAATTGCATTGTGGGAGTTGGAAAAAAGGCAGTTTGGGTGGGCTGTTTCCAGCCCATGTGGCCAAGACTTGGGATGGACAATAAGAATCTCTGAGGCATGGACTCTTCATCTCCTTTTTCTTTCAACAGCTTGGTTTAATCTCTCCTTGACTTTTTCTTTCCCTTCATCAAGGGTGCATTAGGTGGCCTGCTGACTGGAATCACCTTGTCATTTTGGGTGGCCATTGGAGCCTTTGTCTACCCTGCACCAGACTCCAAGACATGGCCCCTGCCTTTATCCACAGACCATTGTGTCCCATCAAATGTAACAGAGTCAGTGCCCACAGAGCTACCTAGCAGGTATGTGGACTTTGAAGGTGGTGTTCGGTCCCAGGGAGTGTGTAACCGGGACAGAGGGAGATGCATTCTCCAGGGATAAGTCCAACGAGCCAGATCTTGCTTTCCTGTGAGAAGCCCGCCAGGCTGTGCCCAGCATTGAAGAGTGCCGTGCAGGGCTGTTGAATGTTCCGCAGATATCTATTGCCCTCATCCCGGGATTCACAAGAGTGAACTCAGCAAAAACTTTAATCAGAAGTCTAAGTGCAAAACAGGAGAAGTAGTGGAGGGTTTGAAAATAGGTGGGTGGATATGAAGATCAGAGATGGTGCGCTTGAAAGAGGAAAGGACCTGAGTAGAAAAGGTCTGTGGGCAATGAGGAGAATGGTTGTGGACATACTCAGCTGGGCGCACTGATGTGAACTGGCAGCTTCTAGATCAAACCCAAGTGGGTTTAACAAAAGATCTTCCTTCTCTTTCTGGCTGGCGTAGTTCATTTAAGATACCAAACACAGGAGATAACACGGTATAGGGAAAAGACCACAGCCTTTGAAATCAGAAATGCCTAGGTTTGGATGTGGGTTTTACCATTTATCCACTCTATGTCTGCACAAATTAGTAACTTGTCACTTCTTGAATTCTCAAGTCTTTGAAAGAAAAGTGAGGGTAATAATCCTTACTTTGCTGGTGGTTTGAGAGGATTAAATGAGAGAAGATATGCATAGCCTGTAGCACTGTCCCTGACTTTAATAAACGCACATCCTCACACTCTCATTGTTTGTAGAAACAAATCTAAGAAATGTCGGATAGCTCCTTAACTCTGCATATCAGGTGGAAAAATTATTATGGCCTGTGCTGAGGGATGAAGGAGGTAGAGCTGCATCTTAGAACTGTCCTGGCTACATAGTCTATGAGCACTCCATTATGTTGCTTCCACTTGCCTCCGAGTTTCATTTAGTTTAGAACCATTTCTTTCCATAAATCTTACAAATAATACCTACCTATTATAGTTCCCAAGTCCACCATGTTTCTTCTCTCCTGGCTGTGCTTTTTCCATCCTCCTTTCTTAGAGTACTAAATCCTGGCCCTAACTACCTTCCTTGCTTGATTAGCTACTAATTAGTCTTTAAAAATAAGCTCAGGTATTATCTCACACATAAGCCTGGATTTGATACTCTTTTAAATGTTCCCAGAATCCTTTGCTCCTATTCCACCCAGGTGCTACCATTCCTTTATGACTGCCCGTTAGCTCCTCTATGTAGACGTTGTCGCTTACTCATCTTTTTATCTCCAATATCTGTCACAGTTCTTGGCACTAAATCTGGGCTTAATAAATGTCTAAAGAATGAATAATACAAAAGAAATGGGAGGCACGGTCCTCATTGTATCTCTCATCATTTAGTATCTACATGGCAATATTTGGAATGCAAGGATGGGTTGGATTGAGTGCAATACAAAGCACAACTAGTCTACAATTGATCTTTTAAAAAAAGAATAACCAAATGGCAAAAAATTAAAGTGTTGGGATTTTGAGAAATGCCAGGCTCTACAGTGAACTGTCAGTGGTCCTCCACATCACTGTGGACCATAACATCAGAACTCATGGAACTGCTGCCACGTGCTGTTGTCGTCCACAGGCCTCCTATCACCGACACCTGGTACTCGCTCTCCTACCTTTACTACAGCACCGTGGGCTGCCTCGGATGCATTGCTGCTGGGATAATCATTAGCTTCATAACAGGTGGGTTCCATACCTTCCTCTCTTTGGGGCCAAGGAAGACATGGGCTGGCCTCATGCACTGGTGGGCCAGGTGGATGGCTTACTGGTGATTTTGGATCCACGGCAAGAAGCCCTTCTTCCCAGAGACATATGTCTACTCTCTCCAAGCTGATATGCAAAACCATCCTCCTGATTATCAAATACATATTATTATTAATATATATAACATATGTTTTTATTATTTATTTATTTGACAGAGAGAGAGGGTAAAAGCAGGGGGAGCAGCAGGCAGAGGGAGAGAGAGAAGCAGACTCCCCGCTGAGTGTGGAGCCCGATGTGGGGCTCGATCCCAGGACCCTGAGAGCGTGACCTGAGCCAAAAGCAAAAGCCAGACATATAACTGACTGAGCCACCCAGGTGCCCCAACAATATCTATTTCATGAATATTAGATATGTTTTGTAATCTACGTAAAATGTTCCTAGTACATAGAAGGTACTTACTAATAAATAAATATTATTATTAAGAGCAGTACACTTCTCTTTGGTTGAATGTCTTTTGACAGAGTAATGTAATGCCAGGGAATATATCATTTCAACATCAGTTTGGAGCTTTAGGAATAGATAAAATCTATTTTATCTTTAGAAAGAAATTTGAATTTGGAAAAAGCTTGTGGACAGGCACAGTGTCTGGTACAGAGGAGGAATGGGATCAAGGTTGTAACTTCTACTCCGCTACCCCTTCTAGGGACATTTAGACTAAACTGGCTATTGAATTAAAGACAGCCATTGAATGAGATTGGGTATTTGCGAACAGTTATCATTATACCAAAATTTACAAAGGTTCTAGCAGGGAGCACTGTTAGTCTTTAAATCTTGGTTTAAATATCAATGTGACTGACTTACTCCACAGCAGGGTTTGAAGGAATGGGACATTGGACAGGTATGTTTTAATGATTGGAAAGGAGGTGTGAGGAAAGTCTAGACTAGCAGGAGGGAATGTGAGGGTATTGCTGATTCAGGGTGCTGGGGTGGAAGGAAGAAGACACAGTAAAAAGAAATTTTAAAGTTTACAAATAACGACTCTGATGACCTCTAATATATCCGATGTGGCTGAAAAACTGAGTTTTCCTAGAGGAAGAAATTATGATTTGTGCTATCCCTCCTGGTAACCTACAAAGTGTAAGAGTAGAGTTTTCCATAATCCATATTTAAAAATAAATATGGTGTCTCTGGTTAACTCTGTATCTGTGAGTTTGCCTGACCTGACAGTTTGTGGATATTTAAAAACTATCCCCACACTCACTTTGAGCAGTTACCAATTTCTATCTATTAACAAGTCAGGCCTATTTTCACCCTTATACTAAGAAGCGACCTGCTTAGTAAGTATGCGATACTTAGCCCTTAACAAAGCCTTGGAAGCATGCAATCACCTAATCCGTCTGTCCTTCTGTTAATAGGTTACCAGAGCAGCAAGGATATTCAACCACTGCTAATTAGACCGGTTTGCAATTTATTTTGCTTTTGGTCTGAGAAATACAAAAGACTGTGCTGGTGTGGTGTTCAGCATGATGGTGGGATGGAGCAGGTGAGCTGATGTGTGAACTTCTGAAAAACATACGAGCTCAAAGGGATTCCCTTTTTGCCCATTTAAACCACCTGAAAAGTGGCTGTGAGAAAGGAAGACTATGAATGTTACAACCCGAATCTTGTTTCAACTTCAGTTACCTCAGTTAATTAGCTTCTGAGCACAGAAATATGTTGATAGGTAAATGTATCTTTAGGCTGAATTGTTGGCACAGCAAGTGATCAATTTCAGAGAGAGAAATTGATAACAGGTTAATCCTGTTAACTCTTCTAAAAGTGAATTCTAGGAAAAATATAAAAATGAACAGTAGAAAAGGAATAAAACAGGGGTAACAGTCTAGAATCATGGTGAAAAGCACAGCCTTGAGGGTCAGCCCTGGAGAGAATCCCGGTTCTGCGTCTTACTTGCCTTGGGTAAATTGTTTAACCTCTTTGAACTTCAGCTTTTACCTGGGAACTGGGAGAAGATCATCCAGTGCCACCCGGACGCAGACATCTTTAGCTCCATGAAGTGTAAATATAGTCAGATGGACAGGGGGATCTTCTTAGAGAAGCAGCAGGATGCACACCTTTCTTATCCCACTGAGAATTATGTTTAGACCAGGCAGGGCTAGAGACACTATCCAAGTATTATTAGGGCTGTAGCAGCCAAAGACCACCAGGAACAGCCTGGGGTCAGACCAAATTGAACTTGTTGACTTGATGCAGCTCCCGGCGGTGAGGACACTCCAGGGAAGCAGGCAATGCCACCCTTAACAAGAGGGGTGCTGGCCATGACTTTTGTAAGCTTTGGGTTCCCACTGAAGGATTCTGAGAGGAGTCTAAGGGAAGCTGGGAATGAAAACAAAGCCGTCTGGGGCCCATTTGGTAAGAGAGCAATAATCCCTCACGTTGTGATGGCATTTGACAACAGCAGAACCTTGGGAGATGTAATGTTTCCTGTTAAGTTTGCAAATGGTCTTATCTATGTCTGTCCTCTTGGTCTCTTTAAGTGCAGGAGTGCATTTTTTTTTTCCTTTTCTTAGTTGCGGCTTATTCACATTCTTTCAGTTGCAGACGTTTTGTTCTTTTAGTACTCTAGTAGACAAACTCTGCACCCATATCACATCACCTAGGTTGTTAATTGTTCTCCTTCCCCCAAACACCCTAATAACATGTAGATGAAGTAAAGCTGAGTGTAATAGTTACTGAAGTAAGGAGAGCACCATCGTGCCAGGCGTTCAGAATGTGAAGGCAATCTATTTGGCTGAGAAAGCAGCTGATCGAGCACTGTATTGTTTGGATAAATGGATTTTTGAGGAAGTTCTAGAAGGAAATAATCAAGTTATTTACTGATTTACAGACTTATGTTCCTGGGCAAGAATTTCCTGGGATGGATGATAAATCCTGCTGATATACGCAGCTTATGTCATCAAGGCTGCACTGAGAGGGGGAAGAAACACTTAGTATGTCATTCTTGGGCTCCTTCCCTGAAGAATGACCTTGGGCAGCCTCTGGGGGAGTCTGCATGCAGGTCCCCCTCTTATGATCTAGAGGCCTTGCTCTTCACAGGAAGGAAGGGCACCACCACCATCTGACACATAGGTTTGTCTCTCCCCAGGAGCTGAGACTATTACCTTACAGGGCTATGATACTAACTGACAGATATACAATATACATTTCTTCACACAACGCAAGATATATTGCGAATGCTTACTAAATTGTTCTTTCTGTTTTTATTATCATTAGAAATAGTACCTACGTGGATTGAGTCATCATAGTTATCAATCAAGAAAGACATTGCTTTCATATTTACATGTCATTTGATTCGATATCATATCATGTGATCATATATCATTTGAGGGGGAGGTGCTCAGCTAGATTCTCTCCATGTGATTTGGAATACATCAAGAGTAACTCCCTAATATGTGTCTTTTCATTTTCCTCAGGAAAACCTTGAGAATGGCAGTTCCTGGAAACAAGGGGCTGAATCTGTCTTACAGAATGGACTCAGGCAAGAAAACCTGGTCCGTATTCCAGGCCATGATCCGAAGGACAAAAGCTACAGCAATATGGCGTTCGAGAAGATTACCCATTTCTGACACATGCACGCAAATACAACGCGCCCCCGCCCCCACACACGGATACACACAGTCCACATCCTGCTTGCCTATTGGTTAGTAGACGTGTGTAGTTGTCACTGCTAGAAGACAGGGATGTCTAATGTCTATTTATACTTATTTATAACTACAAATAAAATGACTGTTCCCCTGGATATTCTCAGGACATTCTTTGGAAGACCCCAACTTTCAGGTGAGAAGAAACAGCTCACTCTTAAATGCCCTGGCAACTTCCTCCTGGATTAAATTAGGACTGGATGTCACCGCAGTGCAAAGAGTCAGTCCCTTTGCTTTATGTCATATTAAACTTCAGGGTGTTTTGTTTTGTTTTATTTTGTTTTTTGGTAGTTCTTGAGCCATCACATACCTTGGAGTTCACAGGCTGAATGTGGAAGGGGGTATGCCTATTAAATGTTTCTCCATCACTGCTGATACAATGAAGGATTGCCATCCACCCGACCCCCATATCTCACATAGATGGAGACACATTTCACAACACCCCACGTTGCAGTTGCTGTTGTAACACCTAACTGCCATTAACCCCATCACCCTGCGCCACACCCTCATACCCTGAAGTCCTCTTCCAGTCATCTCTGCTCCTACAACTGTCCCAACCAAGCCTTAGAAATAATTTTGCTCAGCACAGGAGAGGGACTGGTATATCTAGTTAGTGCAACAGTCATAACTAAATACGCTCCTATCTTTGGGCTCTTGGTGTAGTAGGTCTTTCTAGCACCTTCCAAAGAAAAATTGATTCTGCTCAACAGAGGTCTAGAGTCTTTCCCCAGGGCTGGGTAAAGAGGAACAAGGAATGTCCTATAGGAGGCCGTTAGGATAGCGTTGTGGAAAAGAATCTCGCAAATAGCTTACGGGCCCACAGATTTCACAGGTCACGGGGTCTTCTTTGGCGCAAAATATCTCGTCGACAGGATTGACACTGTACTGATTCAGCTCTAATGTGCAAGCTCAACGTGTTCCATCAGGCTTAGGGGACAGATGAAAAGATCTATATGGTTGAATTCTCGAAAATAATTTTTGAAGTTCTGGAGTAAGAGGAAACTATAGAACAAAAGTTGTTAAAAAATGGAGAGGCAGTGAAAACTTTTTGGAAGAAGCAAAGAAACGAGATCCTGAAAAAGCAAAAAAGAACCGGTGCCCCAGGGGCTAGATCAGAGGGAAGATAGTAGAAATAAGCCAGTGTCTCAGTGTCAGGCCCCTTAGGACAGGTGTCAGATATTTATTTTGGTGGCCAGGTAAGATCAAAGGCCTAGAAGTAGTATGTCAGCAAAAAAAAAAGAAATGGTCCAAATGGGCAAGGGTAAGAAACCCCAAAGCCTATGTCATTTAAATGTAATCCAGGAGGAGAAAACCTTAAAAGAAGCATGAGACAAGGAAAATATTATGTAACCAGTATTTGTTATTAGGGAGAGAAGATAGAAAAATGGGGAAAAATTCAATGAAGGAATTAAAAAACAGCTGGAGTTCATAAGCCACAGCCCAATGCTTGCCTTCTTTCCCTCCACTCTCAATAGGAGAGGAGAATAGAGGAAGAAAAAAAGAGAATTGGGTTGTGGCTTATCAGGAAGATGAGAAAAATACATTTGGAAAAAGGAGGAAAGAAGTAAAAAGTAAAAATACATTTGGAAAAAATATCTGAAAATGAGAAGGAAAAAAATCATGAAAATGAGAAATGTCTAAAAACATTTTTTGAGGTCCAGCAAGCTAATGAAGGTGTCGATCTAAGGATTTGCAAATTGAAAGGTGCAATTATTTTCGAAGTGATTTAGTAGTTAGGACATTCCTATGAATTAGGATTTTGAGACTATATTAGGTGAATGTTGAAATCTGGGCCAAACCTCATTGGTTTAGTTATTATCTTATGACTCGGAAGGGAAGCGACAACTCTGAGGATGAAATTTGATAAACAGTAGCCATTATACGTGTGGCTGCCCCCCACCCCCTAGAGGAATGCTTTATTGACAAATTGCTCATTATTCACTTTAAGGAAAAGATAAATCAGTTACTACCCCAGCATCCTGCCTTCTCAGCACACCCTGTCAGAGATTCTAACACTGGAGAAAGAACACAGAGTGGTGTTCTTTCCATGGCAACAGCATGGGTTGCAGTCCCTGAAGGGTGTCTGAACTGAGCAGTGGCCACTCAGGCATTGGAGAGCACATCACAATCTGATTTTGAGCTGACAGCTCCACCCCCAGGAGGTGCACAGAGGCCTGCAGGCAGACCTGGTCTCTGCTGCTAAGAACCAGCATGGAGCTGCCCCTCCAGACACACCAGACATGCGGGGCCTGGGGTGAGAGGCTGCTGGGGTATAGATGTATGGAATACATTTCAAGATTTTGAACTTTCACTTGGAATTGCATGAAAACAAAATGTACCATACAGTTCTTCATTTTATTCACAAATTTTACTCACAATTTATCCTACCAATATTTCACTTGGACAGCATTTTCCCCAGAAAGATTTTAGGATCCTTTTTTTTTTCCTTCTTTTTTTAGTCTCTAGTTCTCTTACCTGCAGTGATATCAAAGCATCAAATGACTTACAAATGGAAGATACTATTATTATTATTATTATTATTATTATTATTATAAAAATGGCTCTGTCTTCTCTCATGTAATGGAACCTATGGCATTAGGAATTAACATTTTGAGCACTTGTGGAGGTCAATATAAGGATCCCTCCTCATTCTTCCTAATTGAACAAATATGCAAAAATCTAAGGCTTCAAGTAGAGTGCAAATGGAGTCCCAGAGAAAAACCATGTTCCACAGTGTCTAGGAATTGCATCCGTTGTGTGGCTAAACAGAAAAGAACTGTGAAATGCAGCCATACTTCAACTCCTTGGCAGTGACACCTCTCCTGCCCTCACTCCTCCCTACGAGCATGAGTTCAGACTTCTGTCAAGGTTCCCGGGACAGTATAAGATCCGTCCAGTTCCAAGTTCAATCCAAGCCATGGAAATGGCTTACACCTGTGGCTGTTTTTGCCACGGAACGACCAGGGAGATTCTCAGTAAACCGGGTATGAATGATGAGTTCTAGGATAACCTACAATGTGCCAAACTTAATGCCAGTCTCCATCTTCTAAATTCAATCACAAAGATTGGTAAAAATGAAATGGAATGACCTCAGATGTCTCTTTCATTCGTTCTGAGGAATTCCTTTTGAGAACTGCTATTTTCTGATCGGAGCAAGAAGTACAGCTTCTTGACGGAAGGGGACAGATTGGAGGCAGACAGCTTAGGTTCAGATGCCAGTTCTGACACAAATTATCTCAGGAATTCTTGTGCAAGGCTTTCTAAAGTTTTGTTTATTACAAATTAAAAGGAGCAAAAGTTGCCTCTACTTAGTAGGGTTGTTGCGAGGATTTATAGAGGGAAATCCTATCAACTCAGCACTGTGACTGGCCCCCATGAAACATTCAATACTTGCTAGCGGCAGTATATGAAGAAAGTGATACTCATTACAGTATTCATTTTCAGTTAAATTGGTTCACTGTTTCTCTCTAATTTCCAAAATACTGGCTTAGCATATGAATTACTGAAGCAGTTTAAGAACTAACAAGAACAAGATAACCATAAGCTATAAACTAAAAGTCATGCCATTAATTTCCAGAGGTAGTCTTCTTAATGGTGAATTTAAATAAAATATGATTTTTTTCAGAGAGCAATGTTTCTTTTTTCCTTTTTTTTTTTTTAAGATTTTATTTATTTATTTGACAGAGAGAAACACAGTGAGAGAGGGAACACAAGCAGGGGGAGTGGGAGGGGGAGAAGCAGGCTTCCCGCAGAGCAAGGAGCCCGATGCGGGGCTCGATTCTAGGACCCTGGGATCATGACCTGAGCTGAAGGCAGACGCTCAACGACTGACCCACCCAGGCGCCCCGAGAGCAACGTTTCTAAAGGTCTGAAATTTTTGAAAAAAAAAGAAAAAAGCCACTGTTATAAAGATGGACAAGTTTATTACTGAAAAATGCAATATTCATATTGATGATTTGTTAAGTATTATGTTTGTACATGTAAACAGCATCTCAAGCCTTGTGTATGACTCAGTGCACACTTAACAGCGATTGTGATTCTCCAGACAACAACAGAAGGGGCGAGGGCTTTTCCCTTGTTTAATTCAAATAATATTTCTTGAATATAAATTTCATTCTTTTGTGATTTTATGGGGTTCTAGCATTTCACTTTAAAGAGAAAAAAAAAAGAAATAAACCACACACCAGGGGGCTTGCAAACAAAATTTCAAAGAGAATATTATTGAAATATCTTTATGGTACTACAATTTTACTTAAACATTATTACAAAGATCAGATCAGTAAATAGAAAAAAATAGAGCAGTTTCCTTTTACTTGTTCTCTTAGAAATAAATTGTTTTAAAATATTACAGAAATTTACGCTCTCTATGCATACATTTGTATATTTAGAAATCACATGTGTGCAATCTCGGTATTCCAAGGTAGCTGGGTTTACTGTAAAGTTAACCTCTTTTATCCAACATTAATAACCTGGAAGTATGGTCTATTTCCAAAAAACTAAAATTTAATTAATGTTATCAATGATATTAAAATGATACAAAATTTTAATCAAGGGTAACTCGTAATTAATACTCATCTAATGGGTTATTGTCACTTGTAATTCTTGGAAAGAGTTAATGCTGTTATTTCTTCCTTCATTCCAGTCTCCTGACCATATCAATCTGATTTGCAAACACCTATGTGAATAACAAACACTCATAAACCTTCCTGCACTTCTGGTATTTGAAATATCAGCTCTTCAGAAGACAGGGTTAAACGTATAAATATTTGGCTACTTAATCAACATGGCCCTTACTTGGGGTGTGAGGATATCAGTGGCTCTCGTTATATTCTCATGATGAATTAGAAAAATAATTCTACTCTATCATGGAAATGTTAGTTGATAATATTTCTGTATATTAGTGTGAAATTTAAGATGATTTTTTT